TGCCCTCAAGGTCAGTGGTGTGGGGCGTGCCTGGGCTTTCCTGGGTGGGTGCCCCACACTCCATGAAGCAGAAGCTGTAGGTCACCATTGGCTCGAGTGGTGCACCCGCCGGGCTGCCAGCTTCCTCCTTGTGATCTGCTGAGGCCAAAGCAGAGGACACCCGCCCAGGCCCGACCCTGCACCAGGGTAGGGTAGGGGTGGGTTTGGAGGTGGGGGTGGGGATGGGAGCAGTCACTGCAAATGGGTCCCTGGCTGGCTTCCTGCCCCGAACTCTACCATGCAAGGCCTCTCTCCCGCCCTTTCCCCTGCCCCACCACCTCCAGCCCTAGAAAGCCCCAGGCACAGGCTCCGGAAGTGTCCCTGGATCCAGGAACCAAAGGCAGCCCCTGGGCTCCAAAGCTCAGCACACAGAACAGTGCTCTCCGGAGACAGTTTGGACACGTTGCTGAACTGCCTGATGGACATGGCTCTTGTCACAAAATGAATTTGCATCCTGAGGAAGCCTCTTCTTCAGAGGAAGCTTCCCCAGTCACCTCTGCTCTCTCCGATGACATGAGTCCTCCCAGGTGACCTCAGCCTTCCCAGGTGACCTCAGCCTTCCCAGGTGACGTCTTTCCACCATAACTCTGGCTCTCGCAGGAGGTGGGCTACTGCAGGGACCTGAGCCACGTCACCGCCTTGTTCCTCCTTTATCTGCCTGAGGAGGACATATTCTGGGCACTGGCCCAGCTGCTGGCTGCTGAGAGGCACTCCCCGCAGGGTAGGTGGACAGCCGCCCTCAGGGCCTCACACAGCCAGACCCAGGGGCGGCCACCCTGGGCAGGTGATCTCAACTTTCAGCAAAGGTACCTTCCTTGTGTTGCCAGCTTGTTTGGAGCCTTTAGGATGTCTCTGTTGAGGGTCCCACAGGGGCCCGGAGCTGAACGGGGACCCCCAGATCCTGAGTCAGATGCCTTTCACCCCCATCAGCAGAGGGCATCTCATCGTCCCCGTGGCCACCCTCTGTGTCCTGGAGCCACGCCCTCTGGCTCTGATTCTGTACAACTGACTCTCCCCTCCCTGAGAGTCCTGCCCTCCAGCTGGCCAGGCTCCAGCTGCCCCTGGTACCCAAAGATGGGCTGATAAAACCCTGATGGCAGCATCTCCCCATCCTGTCCCCCCTGGCCTGAACCCACTTCCAGGAGAGCATCACAAAGTCCAGCACCCGCCCTTTGTCATGGCCTCAAAGTCAGGCTTGCCCTCCCAGCACCGTGGTCCGGGAGGCCTCCAGGAGCACCTCCAGCCAGGCGTCAGGGGATATTCCCACCCCTCGTCCCCAGGGCCAAGGCCACATAGCGGGTTCACCAGATGGGAGGGTGGGAGGCCTCGGGGTTCAGGGGCCTCTGCAGCTGTCCAGCTCTTCCAGTTGATGGTTCCACATCTTGGGAGCCGGCTGATTTCATGATGGGCTGGGGGCTTCTCGGGATTCCACAGCCCAAATATCACAAGGGTCCAGGGACTCCAAGACCACCAGGAACATGTGGCACCCACGTCATACCGCAAGACCATGAGGCACGCAGTGAGTTTATGGTCCCCCCAGCTCTTCCCCAGAGGCTCTGCATCCTGTGGGGCCAGAGGAGCCAGGGGCTGGAGACCCTGGTGGGGCTGGTGAGAGGCTGAGTTCCAGCCACGGCCTGACCTGGGACGTGGGGTTCTCCATGGATCCGGAGTTGGGTTTCCTTTCCTGCCCTGGAGGAGACAGAGGCACAGGGACTGGGGCTAGTTCCCGTAGAGCAGGGCTAAGGACAGTGTGTCCGCCAGGAGTGTGGGAAGGGGGAGGTGTAAGGAGCCCTGGACACTGCCCAGTGTTCTGCACTTGGGGAAGGATCTTCAGAGGGCTCTGGAAGAGGGAGGTTTTTAGGGCAACCCAGAGGGACCTGAGCACCTCTGTTCCTCCCATCAGGACAAGGAAGAGCTACGTGTTCAGGGTTTCTCATTAGGTTGGTTTCTTTGGAGCTTGATCGATGGGGTAAGGGGGCACAGGGAAACTCTGGCTCAGGGACCCTCCTTGCCCTGCAGGGCCCTGCTCCCCCAGCCCAGGGGTCCGGCTCACCCCCAGCCCACAGGAGGCATAGGTAGATATCTGCAGTACACACAAGCAAAGCCCTTTGCCCAAGAGGGGTCATCCCACGGCAGAGGTTGGGGCTCAGGCCCAGCCTCATGGGCAAACTGGGCCAGGACCCACTTGGGAGGGCTCAAGGAAGCCTCAAGTCCTGGGGAAGCCCCTCTCTCCAGAAGCCACATCCCCATTGAAATGAGTGCTCCCCCACGAGGAGCTGCAAGACCTCGTCTGACCCAGCCTCCTGAAGGGGTCTGATGATCCTCATGAGAAGGGTCAGTGACTGGGGGACTGAAACCTCAGTGGGCCCAGCTTGAGCCACCAGCCCCAGCTTGGAAGGGTGAGGTCCTCCCACACCTGGTGTCCCCACAGATCTCTCTCGGGCTCACCCTGAGCCTTTGGGACGTGTATTTGTTAGAAGTGGAACAGGTGTTGATGCCAATGGCACTCACTGTCTTT